TGAACCTGGTTACTTGCTTGTTGGAGAAAAGACTATTAGATGTTTGTCTTCAGGAAAGTGGAATGCCGTTATTCCCACATGTAAAGGTACCTCAATTTACAACCAATTTTAAGAATTTGGACTATTCTGGGGCACCTGGGTGGCTGAATCAGTTAAGCATCTGACTCTTAATTTCGGCTCCAGTCGTAATCTTAGGATCCTAAGATCAAGCCCCACATAGGGCTCCATGCTGAGTGTGGAGCCTACTTGAGATCTATTTTTCTTTCTTTCTTTTCTTTCTTTCTTTCTTTCTTTCTTTCTTTCTTTCTTTCTTTCTTTCTTTCCTTTCTTTCTTTCTTTCTTTCTTTCTCTCTCTCTTTCTCTCTCTCTCTCTCTCTCCCTCCTTATCTATCTCTATCCCTCCTTATCTCTCTCTCTATCTCTATCTCTTCCTCTCTCTCTCTCCCTCCCTCTGCCTCTCTCCACCTCTCTCCCTCCTCAGTCCCTACCCCTCCTTATGTGCATGTGCTTTCTCTCTGTGTAAAATAATAAATAAGTAAATACCATTTTAAAAAAAGAATTTGGGCTGTTATTTGCCATGCTTTGCTCATCTTTGGCTTACTTCCTTAGAGGCACAGTGTGAACCTCCAGGACCATTTCTCAATGGACAGATAAAGGGTCCTCCAAGTCTTCGGGTTGGTGCAACTCTGAACTTTGACTGTAATGAAGGGTGAGTGTCAAGAGGGCCTTTGAGATTTAATTCCTTTGGTTTATGTGTGCGTAGTGTGACCTGCCAAGGGCTCCTCTATGAGAATCCAGGGACAGCTTATGGCAAGTCTCGGAGAGATAATGCTTATGAAAGGGGTTGGTACACATCAATTAAGTGAATTTATCTTGGATTTTAAGTGGAGGCTGTTGCTCTGCAACACCCACTGCCTAATAGAATGACCCCACTCTGTCTCCAGGTATCGATTACAAGGCCAACCTTCCAGTCGATGTGTAATTGCCGGACAGCAGGCTTCTTGGACCAAGATGCCAGTATGCAAAGGTAAGTTGCAACACTGTGGTTTGCAGCTAGCTCCCTGGTCCTTGAGCAGAAAACCCTTCATTCTCAGCTTAACTAAAAGCTTTTGGTTCAGTCATTACTATACAGATTCTTATAGAGCAAAATTCTCACATAGACATCTCGAAGGGATATGTTCTCCACTGAAGCATCCTTTGGCCACCTCTTTACCCTGCCTACTCAAGTGAAACAGGGTTCCTAGGCTTTTCTTTCTCTGAAAGCTCTGTAGACTTGCCAGCCAGGCCTGGCACAGAAAGGGGGATCTCCTCAGTAGATATAGTCAAGAATAAAGTTCTAAAGCATACTTTTAAAGTTATGCTGCTATAGGGGATCCCTGGGTGGCTCAGCAGTTTAGCGCCTGCCTTTGGCCCAGGGCGTGATCCTGGAGTCCCGGGATCGAGTCCCGCGTTGGGCTCCCGGCATGGAGCCTGCTTCTCCCTCCTCCTGTGTCTCTGCCTCTCTCTCTCTGTGTCTATCATAAATAAATAAATAAACCTTAAAAAAATAAATAAAGTTATACTGCTATAGCTGCCTTGATTGGTACATCACAGCATGTTACAGATGTCCCTGAACCTAGGATGGGACAGCGGTATCAAGCAACATCTGAGGTGATCTTTGCAGTATAGCTGCAATCTTGTCATTTCTCTCTAATTTCTCTAGAAATTCTTTGCCCGCCACCTCCTTCTATTCTCAATGGAAGACATACAGGCAGCTCTTCAGGGAATGTTCCGTATGGAAGCATAATCATTTATACCTGCGACCCGGACCCAGAGGAAGGAGTGAGATTCATTCTTATGGGGGAGAAGACTATCTATTGTACCGCTGACAGTCAGAAGATTGGGATCTGGAGTGCTCCTGCCCCACGCTGTGAACTTTCTAGTTCTGCTGTTCACTGTCCACCTCCCCAGATCCTAAGAGGCCAAATATCATGGGGGCAGAAAGAGCAATATTCCTATAATGACACTGTGGTATTTGCTTGCACGTTTGGCTTCTCCCTGAAGGGCAGTAAGGCAATCCGATGTAATGCCCAAGGCACCTGGGAGCCATCGGCACCAGTCTGTGAAAAGGGTGAGTGTTCCAATACTCAGTGAAGGTGCTACTGATTCTTTTTTTTTTTTTTTTTTTTTTCTGAAGAGCTAGATGATGGGGTTGCAGATTTCAGCAGGGCCTTCTTTTCCAGTTTCTAGTCCTCTCCATTCTACTACCTACAGTGAATATAGATTATATAGATTTCCTTAACATTGCCCCTCAGCCGTTATTTCCATTTTGTGGAAGTATCCTTGGGGGGGAGGGAAGCAGTAGGAGATCATTAAGTTGCCTCCTTCTTTAGGGAAGAAAATGCTTGTTTGTTTCAATAGTAATTTTTTTTAAGGGAAGTCAGCAAAGCCACCACCCCAGGGATATTTCCCATTAAACACATGCGCGTTTCCTTAAGAAGGGAAGAGACAGAAGAAGACTTAGAGCACCAAGTAGGAACTGAATTAAGTCAACCTAAGTGCAGAAAAGAAAAAGAAAGATGAACCACTAAAATTACCCCAAACTGGGTGACACATTAATGATAATTTCTTTGGTTGTTTCTTTCTGCTGTTTATATAAGAAACTTTTTCTTCTTTTCCTTTAGAGTGCCAAGCTCCTCCTAAAATCCTCAATGGGCAAAAGGAAGATAGACACCTGGTCCGCTTTGACCCAGGAACATCCATAAAGTACAGCTGTGACCCTGGCTATGTGTTGGTGGGGAAAGAATCCATACTTTGTACCTCTGACGGGGTGTGGACACCCACTGTCCCGGAATGTAAAGGTGCTAGGCTTTGGATATAGATGTTTTATGGTTTTGAGATTGCTTTGAGCTGATTTCTCATCCAGGTCTCTTTTTCTAGTGGCGGAGTGTAAACCTATAGGAAACCAAGTCTTTGACAAACCCCAAAATGGATTTATTAGACCAGATGTTAACTCTTCTTGTGATGAAGGGTAAGTAAAGGCTGCCTCAGCCTGAGCCAGGTCTGCCTTATCAGCTCACGCTACAAGCTCTGTTGTCAGCATTTGTCTTAAAGACCCTTCCCTGTCACACGTTCGCAGAAGAGTTGACGTGCATGTGGGTGCATGGAAACGCTGCCTATGCGATAGATAGATGGTGCCAGTGCTGGCTATAGTTTTGTTCCTATTCCTGTCCTAAAAGTGAGGAGTCTGCTTTGAGGCAATAGCTCTTGCTTAGCTTAGTGGTCACCAGATGGCAAAATGACGTGGCTCTTTGTCTCTAGGTACCGGTTAGGTGGGAGTGTTTATCAGTCGTGTCAAGGGGCAATTCCTTGGTTTATGGAGATTCGTCTTTGTGAAGGTGAGTAGCAAAAATCATGGAGGACCTGAAACAGTGTGAGATGTATGCATTTCCTGGGAGATTTCTGTTTGAGCCCATGTTATGGAAATAGGAATATTAGGTTCTATTCAATTAACTTTGTCAACAGTTCCAGTTGCACAGTTTTGCTGTTTTCTGCTGTCACCCTTTTTACTTCATTGTATGCCAATCAATTTAAGCATACTTAGTTTCTGATTCTCTTTTGTGATTGAGGAGTTTAAGAATAATGAGGACAGTGAGTATATGAGCCACCATCTTTAATTTGAGGAATGCTGTAGTTTAGTGGAGAGAAAGGGGATTGGTGTGGGATCTGAACTCAGATTCTGTTTCTGTTCCTTAATCTAACCTGGGGTAATTTATGTAATTTCTTAGAAATTCTAGCTTCTTAAAAAAACAAATAAATAAATAAATTCTAGCTTCTTATCTGGAAAGTTAACCTAAGACTGCAAACTTCAATGTTATTAAATTCAAATGGTACTATCCCTACTTTGTAGATGAGAAAATTACCTGTCGAAAGTAGATGCTCAGTCGACAGTGATTCTTGGCTAACCTATCATATCACCTCACCACAAAGATGATACTCAAAACTTATTTCTACCCCCTGTGCCTTTTATTCATCTATTGGTTATTTTAAAAAGCAATGATTTTAATTGCCAATTTACTACTGGACTTTACTGCCTCACAATATGATACTAAAGAACATGTTCACTTTTAACAAAGATTTCCATTACAAAAACCTTGGCTACAATGTCTGTTTAAATAGAATTTAACATACAGAATGAGCTTTGGTGTAACTCCTATTATCAAAACTCATCCATATCCTCCAAGAAACCTGATAACAACAGGTTCATAACCAGCTTCATTTTTCTTCTTCCGTGCTTAATACTGGAACAGAATTCGACAGTAAATTCTCATCTCTCCAGATATCACCTGCCCACCACCTCCTGTTATCTCCAATGGGAAACACACAGGGAGTTCCTCAGAAAATGTTCCATATGGAACCATAGTCACCTACACGTGCAACCCCGGACCAGAGAGTGGAGTGAAATTCAACCTCGTTGGGGAGAGCACCATCCATTGTACAAGCAATGACCAAGAGATGGGCACCTGGAGTGGCCCTGCTCCTCTCTGTATACTTTCCCTCCCCACTGTCCGGTGTCCAACTGTCTATGTTGCAAATGGATACAAGATCTCTGGCAAGGAAGCCCCATATTTCTACAATGACAGTGTGGCATTCAAGTGTAATCGTGGATTTACTTTGAAGGGCAGCAGTCAGATTCGTTGCAAGGCTGATAATACCTGGGATCCTGAAATACCAGTTTGTGAAAAAGGTAAAGACCCAATGGGGGAAAAATGAGGTATTTATTTATTTATCATCTCCAACCCAAAACTAGAGTCATGGAAAAAGACAAAGGTGCACAGATTACTATCCCATTTCTTCCATTCTGTGATCGAATGTCCTATGTGTTTTTATATGTTCTTCATGTAAATGCCCCTTTGGATCTGGGATGTATTCAGGGTAGATAATGAGAAGACTTTTTATGTTTTTATTTTTTCAAGTTTTTATTTAAATTCCAGTTAGTTAACATACAGTATAATATTAGTTTCAGGTGTGCAGTGTAGTGATTCCACACTTCCATGCGACACCCAGTGTTCCTCACAAGTGCCCTCCTTCGTCCCCATCACCTATTTCCCCCATCGCTCCACCCACCTCTCCGCTGGTGACCATCAGTTTGTTCCTTATAGTTAAGAGTCTGTTTCTTGGTTTTCGAGAGGACTTTTTTAAAGGTGACTGGTTCCTACAAAAGAGCAGAAAACATTTGATAATTAGAGTTTCATAATCTTTGGCTTAAAAGTTTCAGATTGTCTGCTGTTCGGTGCTGTACACTTAATGTTCTTGTGTATAAATTCCTTTTTTGTTGTTGTTGGTATTTATGTGGGGAGTTTTCTCTTCAGACTGCCAGCCACCTTTTGGGCTCCAGCATGGTCGGCATACAGGTGGAAACAGGGTCCTCTTTGTCTCTGGGATGACCGTAGACTACACCTGTGACCCTGGCTACTTGCTTGTGGGAAACAAATCCATTCACTGTATGCCTTCGGGAACTTGGAGCCCTTCTCCCCCTCGGTGTGAAGGTACTTTCAGTTGCAGAGTTGTTTTTCTCCGTGATATCAGGCATGCATACATAATTCAAACTTTGTTCTTCTAGAAGCACCATGTCAACCTGTGAGAGATGATTTTCAAGAGCCTCCTCCCATTCAATCACCTGTGATACCAGTTAATACATCCTGTCAAGATGGGTGAGTATGAGATGGTCCATTCTGAAAAGGGGTCCCCTCCTCTTTTTGGGCGTTAATTCTGTCCTCAAGTTGTCTTGATGACTCCTCCTAGAGGTCCCTCATTGTCCCATTCCTAGAGAATGTGAGGCTCCACTGGTCTAACTACATCTCTCTTTCAGTTCTTTCTTGACACGGAAATGGCTTTGCTGTGGAAAAACTCTATGTCTAAAGTAGTTTTCTTACTTGGAGGGCCAGGAGTTTTAGCTCCTGTCTGCCGACCTCTTCTTTAGAAGTGCCCCTGTACCTGTGCTTTAAGGAAGCTAGGTTGCAGAGATGTGATATTGAGAAGAGGAAATACAGTACAATCTCTCTCCAGGTACCGGTTGACTGGACATGCTTATCAGAAGTGTCAAGATGCCGAGAACAGGGTTTGGTTCCAAAAGATTCCACTTTGTAAGGGTAAGTCAGAAAAAAAATTTGTCAGTGAGGTAGTAAGGCAGGCCACTGAAGAACTAGCCTTATAGGTCCATAGTCTATATGTTCTATTTCATTGTACATAAGATAAGGCAACTCTTGCCGTGTTTGGTCGGCACTGGCATTGGGAAACAAAGTTGTCAAATAGGAACTGAGTATTTGCCATACATCTGCCTGCGATTTAAGAAAAAAAATATATAGCCTATGTTTCTAGTTTATGGGAGCATAGCTATATTTCTTCCTTTCTTAATACTTTGTTTTCTGAATTGTTTTGGAATGAATATGTATTATTCATGTAGAGAATTAAATAACACTGGTTTAAAAAAAATCTTATTTATTTGAGACAGAGAACACAAGTTGAGAGGAGGGTTAGAAGGAGAAGCAGACTCCTCATTGGGCAGGGAGTCTGATGCGGGGCTTGATCCCAGGACCCTGGGACCATGACCTGAGCCGAAGGCAGACACTTAACCGACTGAGCCACCCAGGTGCCCCAATAATGCTGTTTTACAGGAAGCATAACCTGGGTCCCAAAATCTCAATTATTTTGTGGTCCCATGTAGAACATGCAGTTGCCTTGTTTTATTTGTGCCCGACTGAAGACTGTCCACCATGGTGTGCTAGCTGAAGCAGAATTTCCTTAATCTCTTCTGCAGTTATTCACTGTGAACCCCCACCCATAATTGAGCATGGAAGACCTAGGGGCGTGATGGCAGAGCACTTTCTGTATGGAAATGAAGTCTCTTATGAATGTGACCAAGGATTCTCTCTTCTGGGAGAGAAAAATATACGATGCATAAGTGATCCTAAGGGACATGGATCTTGGAGTAAACCTCTCCCGCAGTGCTTAAAACCTCCTCCTGTGACCCACTGCCCTAACCCAGAAGTCAAACATGGGTACAAGCTCAATGAAACTCATGCTTCATATGCCCACAACGACACGGTATATTTCGCCTGCAATGCTGGCTTCATCATGAACGGCAGTCATGTGATTCAGTGTCATACCAATAACAAATGGATGCCAGGTGTACCGACTTGTATCAAAAAGGGTAAGATATTTTAAGGAACAAAGTGTGGGCTATTGCCCAGAATGAAGAAAAAGGGTTTTGAATCTACACTGACCATTCAGACTATAGGAAAGCATGTGAGAGCAAAGGCAATCTCGTTGTTTTATAAGACACCTGCCTTATCTTTTTATCTCATCTTTTCCCCCCTTCCCTTTTTTTTGAGATTTTATTTATTTATTCATGAGAGACAGGGGGCAGGGCACAGACACAGGCAGAGGGAGAAGCAGGCTCCATGAGGGAGCCCAATGTGGGATTCGATCCTGGGACTCCAGGATCATGCCCTGAGTCAAAGGCAGGTGCTAAACCCCTAAGCCACTCAGGGATACCCCCTTCCCCTTCTAGATATGTTGAGCAAAAGTACATGAGAAGATAATGGTTAACTTCCAAATTGATGGAGTCTCTGAAATTTATTCTTTTTACTAATAATTTTTTTTAAAAAAACACATACTTTTGGGAGGGCAAGTATTTGGCAATAATATTGCTTGATAATTTGACATTTAAGGCTGTGATACCAGCCAGAAAGAGAACTTGGGGTTTGTGGAGAGGAACGCTAGCCCTCAAACCCATCGAATTGTCTTCCCTGTCATTTTAGTTATCACTTGGAAGCTTTATTCCTGTCAGTAACTGTCTACAAAAGAGACTGCCAATCGGTGCCCCAAGAACTGAATTCAGCTCACCAGAATGGTTTTCTCATCCTAAGTGAAACCCATTTGCACAGCCCAGGATAAACAGTGAATGTGTAACACAGTGAGGGCCCCCTTTGCTTTCCTGCAAGGCACCTGTATCTGGAACCAGGCAACGGCTGCCATTTTCAGGACAAATGCTCTCTGGTCATAAGTGGTGGCTTTGCTTCCTGGTTCCTGGAAGCATTTGGTGTGCCAGACCCTTAAACTACAGCTTCTGAGCTATTTAAGGGGTAAAGGGAAGAATACTATTAGCTAATAGATGACGATCGTGGGCCACGACCGCTGACCTTCCATTATGTTACTTTTGACATTATTCTTCAAATCACATATATGTAGGCAATGCAAATTTCTGTCCAGTGCTGCTTGGTTTCAGTGGAATGAATATTTCTGGATACCAATTAGTTGGCTTATATCCTACCTCTCAGTTTGGTGTCACCCACAGATAGTGCTGGCTATATGTTCCTCTGTGCTAAATTAAAGATCCTTTTTTATTGGTGTCTAAGCTTTCATAGGATGTCAACTTCCACTTAAGATACCCAATGGGAATCATACCGGTGGAGATATAGCTCGATTTTCTCCCGGAATGTCAATCCTCTACAACTGTGACCAAGGCTACCTGCTTGTGGGAGTGGCACTCCTCCTTTGCACACATGATGGAACCTGGAGCCAACCTGCCCCTTATTGTAAAGGTGTGGTGTTTATTACTCTCTTGTTTTTTCAATCAAATTTCTCCCAAATAAGCATTCAGTTAGGTACCTTCAACTTAAAATAGACGAATAAATGCATTAATTGGACCATTTATTTAATGCTTTAATTGGATGGATTCAATTGGATGAATACACGAATTAGTCTGCATACCACAAAATAAAAAAAAATGACTTAGGGTATAGCTTATCTGAGGAGTGATCACTTACATAGTCCTTTAAATATAGAAAATTGAAGTACTTATACAAATTAAACAACTAAAGTGCAGGCTGAATTTACACTGTAGTTGTAGTTATAAGTGTGCGTTTGGCAAAATACTGATAAAAATGCAATGATTTTGTCAGTATGTTTCCTCTGAGTGGTGGTGGAATTACGGGTAAGTCAATCGGAGAAGGACAAACAGTGTATGTTCTCATTCATTTGGGGAATATAAATACTAGTGAAAGGGAATATAAGGGAAGGGAGAAGAAACGTGTGGGAAATATCAGAAAGGGAGACAGAACATACAGACTCCTAACTCTGGGAAACGAACTAGGGGTGGTGGAAGGGGAGGAGGGCGGGGGGTGGGGGTGAATGGGTGACGGGCACTTGACAGGATGAGCACTGGGTGTTATTCTGTACATTGGCAAATTGAACACCAATAAAAAAATAAATTTATTATAAAAAATAAAATAAAATAAAAAGGAATTACGGGTCTATATCTCTTTTTGATAAAAGCTTCAGAATTTCATTTCCCAAACATAAATAATGCATATGAAATAGGAGTAGTGAGTTAATACCTTGTATTTATTGGGCACTCTTTACAAAATGCCAGAAACTGCTCACATCTTATATGCATTATCTCCTGATCATCTTCCTGAGAACCTTGTGAAGTTGATGCCATTCTTATTCCTGTATGACACATGAGGTCTTGGTAGAATGGAGAGACCTGTAACCTACCCAAGGTCACACAGCTGGGAAGTCCTAGAGTCATGACCCAAATCCAAAATCTCCCACTATTGCCCCCTCCATGGCAAGATGAAAGAAGAAATGAGTGAGTGTGTTCACATCTGGACAATTATAGAGTAAGGATGGAGCAGATGAACTAGCCATTCAGAATTCTTAATATTACCCACTCAGCCCTTCCGTTTCTCTAAGAGGCCATTAAAATTATCCAACACTATTAGTTTAGAAACTAAAGCACAAAGAAGAAAACTAATCTGGCTTAAACTATCTAAAGGTAATTGAGATTGATGGTTGACACAGAAATAACTCTGCCTAGGATATAGCCTTTTGTGTTACCACAGTGAGGCTTTCCTCACTGAGAATGAATCTAGTTGGGTTTGTAACCCTTTCCATTCAGGGCACTCTCCTTTCTTGAGAAAAGGCTAAAATATGACCCAGCTTCAATTAGCTTTCTTTCATTTCAGAGGTAAACTGTAGCTCCCCAGAGTATATTAATGGAATCCAGAAGGGGCTGGAGCCTGGGAAAATGTATCAGTATGGTTCAGTTGTCACTTTGGAGTGTGAAGAGGGGTATACCCTGGAAGGCAGTCCCCAGAGCCAGTGCCAGGATGATCACGGATGGAACCCGCCCCTGGCTGTCTGCAAATCACCAGGTAACTGCAGAAGGCTTCCACACATGTGGCTCTTACTTGTCTCACTGGAGAGAAGAGAGTGAAAGGTGGCCCTCGATGTCAGGGACCTGTAGGTTTTAAATCAATATGGGTCTATGACCAGTGCTACAGTATTGGGCAAATTTGAAGTTAGTGGTCTATTCTAGAAAAAAAAAAACAAAACTTTCTGAGGATGGGGAAAGTAAAGAAAGGAGTACTAACTTATAAGGTGCAAAACAACCACCTAACATTTTGAAAGGAGTCATTACTGAGGTTTCCCTTGCTGCCTCTTGATTTGTAAGAACTTACCAATGTGACAAGGACCTCGAAAGAGTATGGAGCACAAACTTTTAGAGCAGTTCATATTTGCATTCTAACCCAAGAAATCTCTGATTATCAAATTGAGTATGTTGGCTTTTTTCATTCGTGAACTATCCCAACTTAAAGTGATATTTAAGTGTCCAGTGAATTGTTACATAAAAAATGAAGGAAGAATGCATACAATCCAGGGTCCAGATATATCTCTTTGAGCAGATTTCGAGAGAAAGGAGCTGTGTGTTATCTTGGGGCTTTGGGGTGCACTGGAGCATACACCTAGACTAATATTTTCATGATTTTATATTCTCCTTAGCCTCACTTGCTCCTCTTCTTAGTGGTAAGTTTTCTTAAATATTTGAATTAAATTTCTAATGATGTTTTATTTTTTAAAAATATACATAATTTAACATTCTATATCCTGCTATTATTCTTGTTTTTCACTTTAGCTCCTAGGAAATTCTCCTTTTTGGGGTTTTAATGGTCTATTCATATGTACTGCATATTACAAACTGACAGTTTTGAATAGAGTTGACTAAATGATTTTAAAAGCCCAGTTTTTAAATTGACAGTTTAGTTTATATTAACTTTTGATCTTTTGCATGCTTTGGTACTATCAAACAGGGTGACTTATTCTGCAGCAGCAAAAATAGATTTTACAACTGAGAGGTAAATGTTGTTATGCTACATCATGGGATCCTTGTGTCCTGAGCTCCTAGTATCATATCACCCCAGTAACAAGAATATTATTAATAAAACTGAAAGGGACAGAAAAGCTCAACAGACACTTGACTAGAGCCCTGTGGTCAAATGCTTGGTGCCTTAGATTAAATGTGAACTGGGCTGGATCAGAAAAAAACTGAAGCCCAAGTATGATTATTTAGGAATTTAACATTTATATGGCTGACAAAGGATAAGTATAAAGTCACATAACAATTTCCCCACAGCCCCACAATCCCTTCAAAACAATATAGGTCACAATTTTCTGGCATTTGATACTTGTTTTGTTTTCTAGGTCTTTCTGCAGGTTCAGTACTTCTTATATTCTTGATTGGTGTCACCTTATGCACAATATTAAAACACAGAGAACGGTAAGTTCAGTGCATGATTGGCCAAAAGGCACAAAAGGTTTCGGCTTCTTGCCTGAAATTAAACTCAGAAGCACAAGTTATATGACGTGAATATTGTAGTATGGTAACTGGAGTAAGGGACCTTGTGCCATATAGAAGAAAACCCTCTCTGTGAGAACTTAAAAAATATCAAACACTTGTTTTATTTGAATGAAGTTCATTCAGATGGTATATAATTTTAAAATCTAGGAAATTAAAATTTAAAAAGTCCCAGTGATAACAACTGCAAATATTTTGGTATATTCCTATCTTATCTTTTATTCTTTCTCTTTCTCTTTTTGACTAAAATTTTGACATTATAATCCCCTGCTTTAATTTTTTTAGTTTGGCTTTTGTCTCTTGTATCTTTATGTTGTGTTTTCTTTTTAGTTATTTAATACTATATTGTCCTATGTATTTCTATATCCTGAAAATTTTAGATTGCTTCCACATTTATTTTGGTAATAAATAAAGATACAAGAAACACCTTCAAATAAATCTTTTTCCACATCTACTTATTTCTGTAGCATAGATGTAGAATTACTAAGGGTAAGAGGATGAACATTTAAGATACCTAATAAATATTGCCAAATGACTTTCCAGAAAGTTTATTCTAACTTGACCATATATCAAATAATTAATATATTTTGATATGTTGTGTTTCTGGACTTCTTTTCCTGCTGTATAGGTCTGTCCTTCTATCTCAAATTCATTTATGCTTAATTAATATGGCTTTCTGCTGTTATATGGTAGGGCAGGAATACCTTTGCTATAATTTTTTAGGATTTTCCCTTCTATTCTCTTTTGTTTGTTCTTACCACGTGATTGATTTTTAGATCATTTGGCATTTCCAAAAAACATATGTTATGATTCCATTAATAAGTCTATGGATTAGTCTGTGAGAATTTGACATCTTTTCTGTAATATGTTCCCATTCACAGTTGTGAAATGCCTGGTTTAGGCATTAGACATGAAGGGGCTATGTTGACACTATGTACTCATGGCACCTGTGAACCTGAGGCATTTGTTCTAAGCCTGCCAGACCCGGGCACCTCTGGTTCACAGGTGCCATCACAGTTATATCAAATCACTTATGTGGTTCTTACCATACAAGAGTCTTAAAAGGGTCTACAATTGTGATATACTTTAGACTGTAGTGTTGACCAGAAGATGTATCCCATAATCTTTGTTTAGTGAATGACTTCAGGAAAAAGAGTGTTCTATGACCAAATAAGATTGGGAAGATACTACATGCTGTATTTTTCTCATGAAAATTCACAATGATCAAGAGCATATTTCAGGTCCTCTAGGCAGGAAGCTTGTTTAATTTTATTTTTATACCAGAATTCCCCAAACTAATTAGACTACAGAACTTTTTTTTCTCATTTAATGCTTTCTCATCCCATGGAACTAAGGTTTCATTTAACAGTCACTGGGGATCCTAGAAAGGTGGGCAGGAGTTAGAGCATCAAAAGCCCCATATACCATGACAAGGAGTTGGGGTCTATCCTGTAGGATCTTAAGGTAAAATAATATGTTCAGATATGCATTTTCAACAGGAGGGCCAGGACCAGGTTCTCCACTAAAGCAGTAGTGGCGGGGGGAGGGGGGGATCGAGAGCTATCCTCGCCATTAAGGAAAGAGGATTTCCAGGACTTAGTGACTTGCCAGATACAGGGAGAAAGGGACGAAAAGAATGACTCATGTGGATTGGATCCAGTGGTTCACCAATAGAGAAGTGGGCAGTTTTGTGTAGAAAGAGGAGTTCAGTTGTGCCCTATTACCTTGGGGTACCTACAAGGTAAAACTCCAGAAAAAGGCCTGGACTCAGGTACGCAACATTTATTAACTCCCATTTGAAGCCTTGTGACCAAGAACAAAAAAGGTATGAATAGGGATGAGGACAGGTCTCAGCAGGACAGTAAAACCTAAAAGGGAGGAAAGGAAGGAACAGTCAGAGGTAGGAGGAGAATTAGGAAGGAGGAGTTTCACAGAATTCAAGGGAGATGAGGGTCTTCAGGACAAAAAAAAAAAAAAAATGGAGATGTCATTTACATGGCTTTCCTCACAGGAAGTTAGAAGATAATTTTAGCCAAGAGTTATTGGAAATTTAAATAAATAGAAAATGTGGCCTCTATCTCTTTCCTTCATGCTCCTAAGTTTGTTATCAGAGGATTACACATGTAGGAAAATTGGCAAACTTTAGGAATGCCTACAAGCTGAAATAATTTATGATGTTTCTGGCAGATTATTAAGTTTATGAATATGATTATATCAAATACTCTTAAACAGAGTATTAAACAGTGCCCTCACTGATATAAACCAAATATATATGCTAAACTGTATTGCTAAGCATCCCTCGTTTGTTTTATTTCTAATTTGTAACTGACTTCAATTTACTTTCTAGTTGATATAGACATTTGAGCTGCCTTAAATACTTTCTGTAAATGAGATGAGTCATTGGTCACCCAGAAATGTTGTCTAAGTAACAAAATTAAATAATTCTAAAGGCCACTCAAACATTTAAGAGGCACCATTCTTAATGTACACCACTTATGTTTATAAGCTGACCTTTTAAATATGGTATGAGCCACATGCTCTCTATGTACCTTTTGCAGAAATCTTGCTTCTTCAGTAATTTTGTAATACCTTATTTCGGAATTCCACATGATAGTGTAATCACATTTTACTGCCTTTTGCTAATTTTGGCTAAGTGGTTTTAGAAGCACAGTAAAGCATATGGGCTTTCAAGGAGTAAAAGTAATATTGTCCTCTTAAAAATCCCAAGGATTCTGAATTTAACATCAAATATAAGAATTTCCCCTTAAGTTACATTGAAAGACTGTGCCCCAAAAAGATAAATTTGTGGTCATGTCCTAAAATAAAAGCTGCTTTTTGATTGATTTCTTTTCAATTTTTTTTGAGGGTCGTATTTATGTCATTGAGGGTCTTGGATCTGGAGTAAAGCTACCTAATATCAACTTCTGACATGGACATTTGTCATCCTAGCGAGTTATTTTTATGAGCGCTTCCAAACAATAGGGGTTATAGTGATTATCTTCTATGATACTTAGGACAACAAAATGAATCATTCATGAAAAGTACTTCTCATGTGATGGGAATTATGGAAAACAAACAACTATAACATGTTTATAGTAATCATGCCAGTGAGTAAAGAGTTTACTTTTTTCTTCTTCCATTTAGCAATTATTATACAAATCAAAGCCCTAAAGAAGGAGATCTTCATTTAGAAACACGAGAAGTATATTCTATGGATCCATACAACCCAGGAAGCTAATCAGAAGACAAACTGGTATCTAATGAAATTGAAATATTTCTATTCATTTCTATGTTAAAATATCTTCAATTTATATTTATCAATAATCATAGTACTGAATATGTATGGTTCTATTGCACAAGTCTTTAGTAATCAAGCACAGAAATTGCTAATTACCTAATTCATATTGCAAATTAATGCCCCTAGGGTTTTTTTTATTCATTCATCTATTCAACAAATACTGAACACATATCATAATAATTAAGAATAAAATAAAAGGGATCCCTGGGTGGCGCAGCGGTTTGGCGCCTGCCTTTGGCCCAGGGCGCGATCCTGGAGACCCGGGATCGAATCCCACATCGGGCTCCCGGTGCATGGAGCCTGCTTCTCCCTCTGCCTGTGTCTCTGCCTCTCTCTCTCTCTCTCTCTCTGTGTGACTATCATAAATTTAAAAAAAAGAATAAAATAAAAAAGAGGATGAAAAGTATTTTGAAGAGAAATAAAGCAGAAAAGGAGCTAGAGCAGAGTAGTTGGAAGGGAAGTCCTCACTAAGAAAATGGCATTTGAGCAAAGACTAGGATGGAGTAAGGAGGCGGCCTTATTGGTGGTAGAAGAACATTCCAGGAAGAAAGAACAGCAGGTGCAGAGACTATAAAGTAGTGTGTGCCTGCTGTGTTGGAGGTACAGCAAGGAGAGCAGCGTGGCCTAGTTGAACTGACCAAGGGAGAGAGAGGTGGGGATGAAGTCAGAGAGGGGGTAAGGGGAGGAGGATGAGGAAGATATATAGAGTATGCTAAGTCACTGTAATGGGCTTGATGTGTATTCTGAGATGGAAACAAAAGGAGGTTTTAGGTGGAGGAGAGAATGGTCACTTTAAGTGTTCTGTGAAGAATTGAGTGTGGGAAGATGAAGGTGGAAGATGGGGAGCCAATGAAGACTTTATCACAATTATCTAGGCAAGAAGCTGTGAGTGGCTACCACCAGGCTGGGGAGAAGAGGCCAGCATCTGTTTTTTAAGATAGTGACAGGAGGATTTGCTGGCAGTTTGTAAGGGAGGAGGTGGTGATGATGTCAGGGTTGTTTTTTGTTTTTTGGTGTGTGGTTTTTTTTTGTTTGTTTTGTTTTGGTTTGGTTTTTTTTTTTTTTTTTTTTGGCCTGCCAACCAGAAGGATGGAATTGCTGTTAATTAGGATGACTGACAATGTGATAAAAGCAGGATTAGGGAGAAAAACCAGGAATTTCACCTTGGAGATGTTAGAAATGAGACCTCTAATAGGCCTCCATGGAGAGGTATCAAGAAGGCAGCTGGGTGTACCAGTCTGTATTTCAGAGAGTAGGTCCAGGCTCAAGACCTAGATTTGGGCCTTGTCAGCATATGGATGGATGCAATAACGAAAGCAAGTAAGATGAGCAAGGGAGTGAAAGGGGCCAGAAGAAAGGTCCGTGTGCCCGGCCTTGGGTCCCTCCACATCAGGAATCACAGAGTGTGAGAGGGAACCAGCAAAGGGGCGAAGCAGCAGCCTCTGACACAGGGGCAACCCCCGAGAGCATGGTGTGGTAAACGTCATGTGAAGAAAGAAGTCTGAGGAGGAGGAGGAGGGAGTGATCAACTCTGTCAAATGCTACTGACTGATCAAGAGCAGTAGTGAATACCGACCCCTGTGTTTGCAGCACAGGAATCGTTGGTGAACTTGACAAGAATTATTTTGGTGAAGAGGAAGGAGACAAACTCCTGATGGAGGTCAGCTTAAGAGAGAATGAAAGGAGATAAATCGGAGGTCTCAGCTGTAGACCCCTCTTTCAAGGAGGTTTTCTACAAAGAGGCACCGATGGAGGGAGCAGATGGCAAGAGTAAGAAGGAAGATCCCAGGAACCACCCACTCTTGAAGAATGGAGAAACCGCAGCCAGGCCACTATTTCCATATGCTGATGAGAATGATCTAGTGGGAAGGGGGAAATGGTGACAGGAGAGAAAAGAAAGAATTGCTGGAGCAACATCTGGATAAGCAAGAAGGGAGGGGGTCGAGTGCTCCAGCCTGGAGGCAGAGCTTCGATGGGAGTGTGGCCTCCCCAACAGGAGAGAGGGCGGGCAGTGCGGGTGCAGATGCTCGTGTGGAAGTTCTCTTCTGGCGATTGTGTTTTCTCAGTGGCTAGAAAGCAAGACAGTCACCTGACTGGGAAGGGAGATGGTAGGGGTTTAAGGAGAAAAGAGAAGGCACTGAAGACTGAGTCACCATGGGAGTTGAAGATGGAATGACAAGGAGCATAGGAAGCTTGACAGAGAACATGGAGGGTCCCCCTAAGGTCCCCAGGACTTGTCTGCCAAGCCCAGGCATGGTGCTGAGCATCTCTCCTGCCTTATCTCCGTTTTCCCTCCCTACACAGTGAAAGGTATCAGCCTGAGGTGAGCATATAGCATCCAAGACGAGAAAACTGAAGCTAACCTGTTGGCCAACGGTCTCGGAATCAGTAAGGGGCGAATTTGAATTCAAGCTCAAATCTGCCTTCAGACTGCTTTCTCCTACAGACTCTATAAAGATACCACCTCTGCCCTCCTGCAACTTATTTTAGTATCAAGAAATAGACGTTTACATGTGATAGTGTAAGAATAAGAACCACAAACAAGCTACAGAAAAACTGCTGTGGTAGTTGAGGAAGAAAAGATCACCTGCTGCCGGGGAGTCATGGAAGAGGAAAGGGGAACAGGGGAGACCAGGCCAGAGTGATGTCTAAACCCAAACCACTGGGGATCCAAGTAATGCTAGGACATCCATATTTGTTGAATGAATGCATGACTGAGTAAGAGGGAGACTCTTGCTTCGATTTCTCCCTCATGTAGTATTATTCATATTTATCGATCTGAACTTTATTATTTGCTTCAGATCGTGTTCTCTGAAGAAGGGGGCCTCTGGAGGGAATGCTATCTTCTAGGAGGCTTGATGCTCTATTGGTGATAGCACTTAGCATTGGTGCCTAGAGAACGTGGACGCTGTCGTTTAAACACTAAGGTGCACACCTGCCCTTCATGCTGCCTCCTGAACCGAAATTCTCTATTTCAGTGTGCCTCGTTGTCTGGATCCAGCTGAACACGGGTGGAGAAGAAACCATGTGGACATGAGCGAGTCTACGTGTATGGTCTCAACACCGGGGAAACGACTTCATAAGCTATAACTTTCCATGTGCACTTATTCCCAAGCAGGACGAAGAAAGTTTCCTGGTAATAAAGCTGGGGGCCCAGTTTCACTGCTGCATGCTCTTCAAGGACTTTGGGAGGTCTCCCCTGTAATGTGCCTGGAACCAAGCCATAGCTATGGTGACTCCGAAAGTGTCCCCATTTTAAGGAAGGCAGTAAAAAGAGCTGTCCTGTCTTGACTCCTCTTTTGTAATCAGCATACTTGCCATTATCATATACTTCTGGTAATAGTGTGCTTTTAATTATTTAAGCAAAGCAGAGAGCATTTCACGTGGTTACAATGGGCATACTTTTGTTGCAAAGCCTAATTTTATTTTCATCATAGCATTTTGCTCCCATACGGTTAAACATTTCACTTTTGTTTCCACGTGGGTTTGAGGTTTTTATCACAATACATACTTTGCCTTTCCATAATCAGTAATTACAACTTGCACATTTTTTTTTACCATTATGGGAGTCAGGTTTTAATCGTTAAGGTTTTGGTGTACAAATTCAGGCTTTGGATATTTCCTTGGCCGTTCCGTCAGAGCTCTGGTTCCTTTAAAAATGTATATAGTAGTTACTCAAATAAATTTTATCTTTGAACAAAAACACTTGCCTTCTATGTTTGTTGTTCCCCTAGAGTTAATGAGCTTCGTCTTAGGGTTTTTATTTTAATTCCATTTAGTTAGGGTTTTTAGAGTTCCCAAATTAACATTTATGCATTCTGGATCCCACCACTTCGCCGTGTTAGCCAAGTCTCAATCCACAAACTCAGCTCCCTCATCTTAGATTGGCTCTTCTATTTGTCCAGCCAACGCCTTCCCGTAGCCCCCTCCCACCACACTCTAAATCCAGCTGCCAATATTCCTTCCACTTACACTATTGAGAAAATAAAATCTTGCTCACTGGCTCCCACAAATTTCTCTCACCATCTTCTAGACTATTCTGTTTGGCTTTGAGGGGTCTTTTAAATATATAGAGAGAGCATAAAGTTTGCCATCTTAACCATTTTTAAGTGTACAGAAGTGTTAGGTATATTCACATTGTTGTCCAACAGATTTCCAGAACTTTTTCATCTGACAAAACTGAAATGCTGTATCCGTTAAACCGTAACTCTGCATTCCCCTCTTCCTCCAGCCCCCCGCAGCCACCATTCTCCTGTTTCTCTGAACTTGACTACTTTAGATACCTCCTATATGTGGAATCATTCAGTGTTTGTCCCTCTGTGACTGGTTCACTTCACTTAGCACAGTGTCCTCAAGGTTCCTCCATGTTGTAGCCTGTGGAAGAACTTCCTTCCCTTTTTGGGCTGAATGATCTTTCCGTGCATATATGGACCACATTTAGTTCATTCATCTGTCAAAGGACATGTGGGTTGTTTGCACTGTGTGGCTTTTGTTCATGACGCTGCTACGACCAATGGCGCGCAAATAGCTCTTCAAGACCCTGCTTTCGGTCCTTTTGGATATATACGCAGAAGTGGGATGTGGCTCAGTATCTTTTATTCATTCACAACCAGTCCTCCTCTTATTCCTCTGTTGGTTCACCTTAAGCTGTCTATCCCACTCCACCTCATCTCCATTCTCCTTCCTTCTCTTAGTAGATGATGAAAACCTCACAGGGTAACTCCCTCAACCTCCTCTCCCTGCACTTCTCTTGCTTCACCCAAAATACCCGCCTCTGGCCTGTATGGCTTCCTTAGCTTCTGTGAGTCTGGGGACTGTGAGAGGGGTGACAGCAGAGAAGGCTGTTGTGAGCTGGGAACTAGACCTCCATGGCATGATGGGAGAAAGCAAATGTCAGGAGATCGGCGCAAAAAGAAGTGGTAATGAGTTAGGTGCTCTGCTAGCTTGTGATATAAGGCTGGGGAGTTGGATCTTCCATTCCCCTTTCATCAGCCTACCATGCTCTGACTTCTCCTTCCATTGCTCTGCGGAGGATGATTTAAAAGGATGATATCAAATCCCTGAGAGATTGCTATTGGGTACATTCTAAAGGAGATGTGATATGATCAAAGTAAGTATTTCTTGCAATAGAGTCATGGGAGAGAGCCTAAATATGCAAACTGCTAGAAAATAAGAAACACAGCTGGCCTTTGGGGCACTTCCCTTTCTCACCTAGCTGAGGCTCGAGGACGAGGGACAAATGAAGTAAGGCCGTGTTCTAGAATGCTTGTGTGAGCCGAGGCTATACACACTGAGTGGTACAGGTTTGCTGGACTGCGTGTATGTAGGTCTCCATTAGTGAAGCTACACTGAGAAGAGGGAGAGCAGTTTTCCACCCTGAGCAGCTTTTCCCCACCAGGAATCACAACTCTGCACAGAGGAGAGAAGGACTAATACATTTACTGAAATATCTGCCATGCTACCTCCCCACCCCTCCCCTTCCTCCCCTCTCTGTAGCCTGTGACCTATGCAATCATTCCACTC